GCGTGAAGCACTGAGCAACCGAGTCGAGAGACTGCGCGGCGGCCTTCCGTGTCGGCGCCTCCGGGGATTCGAGTAGAGACCATATCGCCTTCCAGACCTTGCTAACGTCGCTGGCACAGGACTCTGCGTCTGTTGCGTGGTAGGCAAGCATTGCGCCACCCAGCACAGCCGCCCATGCTGGTGCAAGTCCGGTGTCTACCTTGGCAGGGGGTGAGGACAGGACAGCCTTGAGGACGTTCGGCAGCTGTTCGTAGATGTTGTTTGCGGGGTCTTGTACGGACATGGCGAGGACATCTGTGATGATGGAGTACGCTGATTGGGAGAGATAGGGGTTTCCGAGGCGCGGGAGGGTGAGGAGGGACGTCGTAACGGCAGGCAGGGACTACCGTATGTATGGTGAGACTATGGACTTCGATGGCTGGAAGAATCACTTACATTCGGCGGGAGGAGTGGAAGAATTGGCCTGATGAACGCGAGTAGGTGGATCGCGATATCCGAGCCCTCTGTGTCGGCCTTCTTGCCCTTGAACTTCGGCACACCTCCTGCATTCACCTCGCCAAGCGCAGAGAGGATCCACTCCGAGACCTTCTCCGCATACGGGTGTCGTAAGAGCGGGGTAGGAGGCGTGATCAAAGTATCCTTTACAACTTCTGCCGCCCTCTTGCGCACTTTTGGCCTAGGATCCAAGCAGAGGCGCAGGATGAAGCTGAAGGACTGCCGGAGACCCTGGCTCTCGAGTTGCGGTCGTTCGAGGGCGTGCAGGATAGCTCCGTAGAGCGTGAGCTGGGATCGCAGAGGCGGCGCGTGTGCAGTGAGGGCGGGAAATAGAGGGGCCGTCAATGCAAGCACAGTATCTAGGTGAGAACGAATGACGGGAGGAGGGACATGAGGAGCGATCATGGCAAGCAGATAGAGAACGGCAGGCAGAACGTCGCCGTCGCCGAGCGTCGGGCCAGAAGTCGGTGCCGCCTGAGAGACACCATCTAGAGTTGTCAAAAGGGCAGCAAAGTACGCCGTCGCAGATAGTTCAGTCTTTTGTTCGCGGAAGGTCGCCTCGAGCGCGTGCAGGAGGGTGGCAGGTGCCTTTTGATGCGGGAGCGAGGAGGATGTATGCGGTCGAATCTTGGCCAGCGATTGCTCGAGACCTTCCGCCATTTTGATAGGCAGTTCCGAGCTGCTAGAATACAAGAAAGACAGCGAGCACTCCGCTGCGATGATTTGCGCTTGACCTGTGCCTTGCGTTCGCCGTGCCTCTGCCTCCAATTCTGAAAATTACCAGCGCTTGTACCACGTGCCAAAACACGCTCGCTGGATGGGCGCTTGGCAAGTGGGAAGGAACGCCGGTCGAGGCTCTCGACTGAGGATACGGTGGCACATCTTTGGAGTAGGCCGGACCTGCTGTCCTCCTCGTCGCTACCCACCATGACAGCCGTCTGAGCCTTACGATATTCTCTGCTGCTCGTCTCTGAGTTCTCATCTTAAACGAACTTCTCTAGCTCACTAGTCAGCGGACATAGACCAGTGCTGGCTTGTTGGACTCATAACTGCTGGCACCTGCACGTCCACCTTGTTACACGTGTATCTTGGTTTGATTGCTTGAGACCATGCCAGAGGGCTCACCGACGCCTTGGTCGTATTTTCTGATCAGGTATTCCCCGAGTTATATTAAGGAGTGAGCCGGTCCGAGAAGATAGTCCGTCAGGCTTCTCTTTAAGTTCGTCCTCAAGATCTTCTATGGTACAATTGTCGTGGAGAATGCAGACCTTATTCCGAAGAAAGGAGAGCCCTGGTAAATTAAATTTAGCCTGTTTGCTCAAACGTATACTCAATTGAGCGTAGCATTGTGTGCGCGAATCATAGCAACTCGTTGACTGACGCACTGTGAGGAGAGCTCTCAATGCGCTAATGCGCTTGGCTGACGTTTAGCAGGCTCCTTGTCACCTCGATACCTTCCAAGGTATCAACATCCAATTTGCTTGATAGTGTCCCCTGACTAAACACCGACGCTTAGCGACGCAATCTCCTGAGACTGACCGCCAAGTCGACCCAGTTCGGGAAGAGGACTTTTACTAGCTGGTTGATCGAATCTGCAGGAACCATTCCCATCAAGCGTAGAAAGGACTACAACAATGAGCAAGTTGATAATACGGAGGTCATGCAGAATTTGATGGAGGTATGATCTCTTGCTTGACTCATACATGATCCAAACAGTTGACCACTACTAGGCGTTAGAGAATGGAGACGCTGTATGTCTGTTCCCGGAGGGTATGAGCAGATATCATCCAACGATTGCGCCTCTGAAGACTGGAGGTACGGTACTTGTCCTTGACATATAGTTGTGGTATTCTGACGTAGCATTCCAGGGGCAAGAATTGTGTCCGACGTGCTATCGCGCAACAGGGACAAACCAGACTTTGAAATCTCCGTCTTGACATGCTCAATCACCTACATGTTAGTACATTTCAACCATCCACAGCCCATCTCTAACATCTCAACCAGGCATCGAGAGCACTTCCGGTCCGACGTCCTGGTGACGTTTCATCCACCCATGAAGTTCCGGCCAAAGGCATGTGACCCGCCTGCTGAATTCCTGTCTTGCTGACCGTCCTCGAGGACAACCCCGAGCTGCTCGCACCCGTCAAGTACGATGAGATCCGTGGGCTGACTGCCCGGATGCACCAGCAGATCAGCTCCGGCACGCTGGACGCGCCCTCATGGACGCTCATTCGGAACGCAAAGCTCGCCGCACGCATCTACGCGCCGCTCGGCACGACTATGAGCCTGGGCGACTACGTCCGTGTTGCGCGGACGTTCGTCGAGGCGTTCAAGCTCGCGAGTGCGCCGCGCCCGGACAGCAGCAGTGACGGTGAGGCAGGCCCCCGCGACTCGGCCGAGGACAACCAGCTTATACGACTCGGGAACGACCTCAAGGTATGATCTATTTCTCATTGAGACGTTTCAGTGGCTTACACTCGTGCAGGAGTACCAGGACCAGCTCTCCCGCTGGGGCATCATGGATGACCGCATCCGGCAGCCGCTGCTACGGCGCCGCACCCACCTCTACCGGTTCTGCGCTCGGCTCGCCTGGGTGCTCTTCCTCCTCTTCATCTCTGTTCCAGGGCTGCTTCTCTGGCTGCCCGTCTTCGTCACGACCTTCATCGCGGTGCACCAGTTCAAGCGCACAGGTCCTATCTGGGACACGTGGGACGAGATCGCGCAGTACAAGCTCATCTATGGGCTCATTTCCGGGCTCTGTGTCTGGTTTGGCGCGACACTCCTCACGTTCCCCATCGCGCCGATCACCGCCGTGCTCGTCCCAGTAATAATGTGGATGGCACTGCGCTGGCTCGAGGACGCGATAGCCGCCTCGCGCGCCGCCGCGATACACTTGCGCCTGCTCCTTGCGGGACCTACACGCCTCCGGGCGCTCCAGGCACAACGCTGCGGCCTGCATGCGCGCGTGATGGACCTCGCAGTGAACGTCTTAGGACTCGCGCCGGATCCCGAGGCGCACTTCGCCACGAGTGGTGGACCGGACAAGGGCCGCGTGAAGGGCCGCGTGAAGGGACGCTGGGCGAGTAAGACGAAGTACTTCTCGGTGCGCAGGCGTCGCAAGCGCGACTGGAACGAGACGCTGCGGCTTTACGACATGGTCGACTATCCAGACGATCCATACTGAGCTCCGGGCCCGGGCGCTGCTATTTCTGCTTCTGGTCAGAGACAAGCCACGCTACTCCACATCGCAGGGAAGAGAAGAGAAGAGAAGGGGGGTCAATCCACGTATCTAGTGCTAATGGTAAATACAACGCTATTCGAGGCGCGAGGCTGGTACATATGGCGGTGGGGTGACAGTAATCAAACAAGGCAGAAGCGAAGTGGGAAAGTCCGTGCGGGTCATGCATAGGGCGTGCGTAGAAGATCGTCTATATCGTGAATCAGGCTGCGGATGGAGTGGAGCGGAAATCTAACCCTCTATGGGACGGTACGGCCGGTTGCCGGCCGCCCACCTGTGGCCGCGGTTCGCGGATACGCCGGTTGTAATCACACCGACGGTGACGAGGGTGCCGAAGAGCCAGGAGAGGGCGTTCAGGACGTACGCAAGACCTGCATCAAGGAGTTAGCATTCGTAGTCTGACTAGGGTAGAGAGAACGCACCCGGTCGTGCATAGTCGAAGTCGGGGTGCACGGCGCGGCGGTACAAATCTGTCACAACTGCGAATGTGATAATCTGGAAAGCGACTACGCAAACCGCTCGTCAGCAAGGACGGTGGAGTGTGAGTTCTAGGCGCTCGAGCCTCACCATGGAGGGCAACCAAGCCCGCGACAGCTCTCCAGATCCTCCTCCGCCTGGAACGTGTGGTCACGCCAAAGAGCAGCGCGAATATCGCCATGGCGCCGAAGCCCGCAGCAAGCTCGCTGGAAAAACCCGCTGTGCTCCAGATTATGCAAAAGGCCTTGTTCTCCTTGTCGCAGTAGTCCAGCGAGCGGTTGGGGAATGTCCGACATTTGTAGTCGGTGTACGCGAGGCGGGAGCCATCAGGAAGCCCTGGGACAACGACGACCTGCCGCTCGCAGCGCTGGTTGAGACCGTACGCGACAGTTACTTTCGAGTGGAAGATGTCCGAGTTGTTTACGATGAGCCTGTATGCGGTCGAAACGTGAGGCCTATGATAGGAGGCAAATGCTGCAAGGACTGACCAGTCTGGGCGCGTAACTGACAGTATGTTCTAGCTCAAGTTCAGCAATCCACCACACAGCGCCACAGGAGCGGATACTCACAAGGAGAAGGGTGGCTAGAACCGCGAAGAAGGCCACAACGTAGGACGTCTTCCTCATTGTTGGTGGTCGAGTGAAGACCCGCGACGGCTGAGCGAGACAAACCAGGCTACAACCAGGCTAGCCTTAGGCTACTCGGATGTGCGGCTGCGATCCCGCCACCGCGTGCTACACGTGCGCGCTGCTGGTGCTTTATATAGCTTTCGGTAAAAGTGTGACTGCCCGTCCCCGTCGATTAGTGGTCAGATCGTTACGTTGTGGTCCGCGATCAGGACATGTCAATCCGTGAAGACGTGGGCTCGACTCCCACCGGGGACACTTTTTTTATCTAATTATTCCCGACAGCCTCTTCAGTATAGCGCACTGCCCCATCGTCATTTGGTAGGAAAATGTATACATTCGTATATCTTCTGAGTGCATGCCTACTGCATAACAAAATATACCAACTCGAGGGCTCCAACACTGCCCTCGTCAGCTGACTGCACGCCTACACTCTTGGAATGCCCTGGAAAATTTGCGGATATGTTTTCGCGATGAGCTGCAAAACAGACTCATGAGTCAATTGTGACATTTTCTGACAAGACATATATGTGTTCACCCCCCAAAGAATAGGCGCACGAGCAGCCAGGACTTGCGGGTCCTCGCCCAGCCCCACGAAGCTAGCAAGACCATCAGTGAATTATGAGCCTCTGAAAAATGATAGGTACTCACATCGTCGACACACCGGCCTCAATGGCAGATGAAAGCGTCAGAGCTACACCAGCTCGTTAGTATGGTGAAAAAGACGACCAGAACATGATCCAACATACTACACATAGCACCGATGAAGAACGCAAACGCCACCACCGGCGCTGTATATTGCCCAGCCGAATTGTACGCCGGATGTGTGTCTGTAGGGAAGGCATTAGGTCACAAGTGTCGAGTAGAAATAGTATGCATGCGCGCACATTTGAGATACAAGTACGCGAACAGCGAACAAAGCAGCCCGACCGCGTACGCGCCCCATGTAAGCGTCATGCTCACGAGCGAGTCGTTCACGAGCGCGTCAACGCCGCGGTCAGCGAACAGCCGCCAGGTGTCCTTCGCCGCCTGCAGGTACGGTTTGCCGTAGAGCGCTGTTGTGTACGCGCCCGAAGATCAACATAGAGGTGAGGCGCGAATACCAGGAGTGCTCACCGATCTCGATGTATGCATACCGGTTGAAGTATTGCACCGCGGACTCGATGCACCCAATGATACACTCAGCACAGCATGCAAGACACGCTTCCACAGCTATATGCGCACGCAACCGGGCTCAGTGACACGTCAAGCCGGGAGTACCAATGACATGGCTTACGGGATCCGTCCGCGTTCGCATTGTTGCGCGCGGCGTTCAGAAGTAGCCTGAGGAGCTCCAGGAGGGTGACAATGAGCGAGCCAAACGCAATGGAGCCCAGCGAAAGCGTCGATGCGCGCGCAAATGCGGAGCTTGTCGGATGGCGAGGCTATGTGCGTGTCTCAGATCTGCGCTCAGGCGAGCCAAAGTGCCGTGCTTACCATCATACCTGCTTCGCGTGGTCCGAAGTAGTACCAGCCTTTCGGAGGTTGTGAACACCGGGCGAGATTCACAAGATGGAGAAAGGACGTACTGCCGAATGGCCCACCCGCGAGCGTCGCAAGCGAGACGTTTGCGATAACCTGCGACGTCCACAGGTACGAGAAGGTGGCGTAGACAATGAGGCCAGTGACTTTCGCCGACGAACAAGATGTCCCAGAACTGCAAGCTGGGGTTTAGTCAGTACAGGTGAAGTCGGGGTTTTATTGTGACTGACATGGGTTACCAGGAGTCCACTTCTCGTATCTAGACATGTGCCGTTCAGACTCCTCCAGAACCAGGTAGAAGCTTCATGCTTACACTCCGATGGCGGTGAAGGTGTACAGGCTATCATGTGAGTCAGCTTTAGAGCATGTTGCACAAGTAGCGGTAGTACGTACACACTGTACCCGGCTTGAAGGATCAAGGAGATGAATGCGACGAAGTAAACGCTCGGATGATGTTTTGCTATGTCCATGACTACCTCCAGGAGTGTCGCGGCCAGAGGAATGCGAGAGCGGTATCCGAAGTATGCGAACATTGAAAGCACAGCGATGATTGTGAATACGATAGCCCCAGCTGCACAGGACGAGTGAGTATATGAATGTCCACAGGGAGGGGGAACGTACAATAATACTTCTCAATCCAATAATATACACAGATTCCACTGCGAGTTACTGATTAGACGTTTGAATGCAAAGCACATCTAGGACACTCACATATTGAGAAGGATCGAGAGTACAAGCGTGATATGCATGATTCCTCGTGTGAACGCGCGTGCAAGCATGAGATATATCGTTGATAACAGTAGGGCCGCTCCTGTTACGAGTAGGAGTAGGTACAGAGTATGCCTGCAGATGCATGAGCATTAGTGTGCTGAGCGGACCAAGAGAACTCACTTGTTGAGAGTGATATTGTTCCCCGAGTCATCTTCGCCCAGCCCGCCGCCAAGGCCGCCCTTTTTGATGTAGTCGGATATAACGATTCCTGCCAGGATGCCCATGCCCACAAGCTTCCCTCAAAGTACTCAGTAACACTCGCGCATACACTGAGTGGCTAAACATACCTGCGCAATGAACAAGATCAAGAAAATCGGGTCGTTCAAGCGTTTCTTCGGCCTGAATCTATCGTTCTCGTACGGGCTCTTCTGCTCTGCATATCCTCCACGGTACTCGGATTGTATTGGCGGAGCGTACTGCTCGGCATAGTTGGGCGTTGGCCCAGGGCCGTAGACCGGCTGGTACGAGCCGTGCGAGTCTCTCCAGCTCTGCATCTCCTCGTGGTCGCTCAAAATCATGTCGTGTCGTGTGTTCGGTGCAGGTCGCCCAGCAAGTATTTAGTATACAAAAAGACGCGTCGCTCGGCTAGTACAGTTCTCGAAGGTGGCGGAAGAACCTCTGGTAGCGTCTAGTTACTTCGTCGCAGACCGCAACGCGGGACGGAACCAAGCGAGCAAGATGGGTAAATATGATGAGATAGGATGAGATGTGGAGATGGAGGGCGGAGGGCAGACGGGGGGTATGGGAGGTTGGGAACGTGACGGGCAACACCGGGCAGCGCCCCATGCGGCGGGCAGCACGAGCCAGCTGCATCCATTGCAAGATGTGCCATGTCCCGCCTCGGCTCGGAGATGACGTTCTCTGACCTCTCGCGTGCAATTAACGCCCGTCCCGCCCCGCGCGTCTCGTCCACCTCGGAGGTACATGTTCTGTCGCGCCCATCGCCGTCCAAGACCGACTACCACCGTAGCACGTGCGTGCCCAGGGCAACGCAGCTGTATTTATTTCTGTCGGGGAGCCATCCTTTGGCCTTGCTCAGGAAATGGTCCCGGTGTGACCTCGTGAAGGTTTCACAAATGCAACTCACGGTGATAGGATTGTGAAAACGATGTGATGCATGATATTCCTATGGATTTTGACATATCGTGATATATACCGTTATATGAGGTAATCTCTGGTACGCTTCGGTCACTGGGCCGGTCAACGAAAGTTGCGAAGCTGCGGAAAAAAAAGTCAGAAGCCAGATCTTCGGAATATCCCACCGAGAGCTTAACGACCGAAAGTCATTTCGCTACACCAACGTTCTGCGAGAGCATATGGTTCGTATTATCCGCAGCATCGTCTATCGTGACGCAGGGTACGTCGAACGCAAGGCACAGAACCTGCCTTTGGCAACGGGCTCCACCGATGTCAGACACGCCGTTTACTTACTACGCGATCTGGTTCCGTACGTGCTATCCTCCTTCGTATTCATTTTCGCAACACCTGAGGCCTGAAATCATGAGCATGCATATTGCAGATGAGACTGTTGCATCGTTGCACAGATGCGGCACTCGAAATTTGTAATCCGACTATATGTGATCTTTGCGACGGAGTACGCCCTACGTCTTGGCATTCTGGCCAGTACTTATTCAGTCAGTTGGGAGCTGGCTATCTTGAGTCGCAAATGCCATGTCAAGTATGCCTTCACAAACTATTGACGCATGATATTGATGTACATGTGAGTCGTGGTACTGCGCGATATCCATGGGACATCCAAATGAGGGATGTGGTGGTAGTAGTCGTTGGTTGCCCCCGTGGAGCTTCCCTCATGACTGCTTGCGCTTGGATGGGACTCGCGATGATTCAACGCGCGGATGGTGGTTTTGGATTGCTAGTCCGACGGCACATGGTTCTTTTGCCAAAGCGTCTGTAGAACTAAAGGATGAAGGCCGGGCATCTGTCTTGGCACTCTGCACTGTGTTACTCCTGGGCCTTCGCTCACGGGCACGGATGTTGGTCCGTATGCCGTGAAGAGAAAGATTCTACACAGGTTTCTGATCAAAACTGGTACTCGGAGCAGTCCAAGGTGACTGCGCACGCAGACCCACCTTAGTTAGATCGGTAGAGGCATGCAGACCTGGAAAACCCTTCGTCGAGTAGACCCTGAACGGTGTCCCGAAACATTCGGTAAGCATTGGTTTTGGTGTAGGGCCTGCGGCTTGTGAGAATATGTGGGAGACTCGGTACCGGAGAACAAATATGCCCACCATTCTGACCGACACGTCCTATATGGGCACGTAAGATCAATAACGCTACTCAGGCATGGATGCTGTTTATCTTGACGTACACGATATTCGCTGCAGGTGTATACACGGCGACGACTGGATGGGGAGGACAGCTGTGACAAGACGATCTTATACCATGTTCTCTGCGCAGTGCGTAATGCCACCTCTCGTTGCGATTCCCTCGCGTACAGCACCTTTCTAACCTATAGACCGGACACGAAAACTGTGAGCTCAGCCGAGTTTAGTGGCTAAGAGCCTGAGGTTCTCACCACTGCCTCTGGAATTAAGCGTCTTGTTAGAGAACATACTAAGATTACACAGGAACAGGGCACCAAGGCGCAGAATCGCGCAGCTGAGTGCGCCTAGCAATGACGTCATCGGGTTTTGGCAAATGGCCATAAACGGCAAGTGTCGGTCGTCGAAACAGAGCGACACAGTGCCACCGGCATACTTCGGCATAGCTCGGCGAATCTGCGGCTGGCGAGAAAATCGTACAATTGGCACCGATTTTGTTGCAAACGTCGTGTGCGTCACGTCACGAAGAGGTTCCTACTCGCAGGTATTCCATTAGAGGTTCGATCTCTTGCCAAGAATGCCTCAAAGAGTCCAAAGACCCCTGGTGCTGGCCAATGAAGAGAAAGATTGGGGAGCATGGTATGACAAATTGTTACGGCGGAATCTGATTGCGATGTCACGGCG